GTGTGTGTGTGGATATGTGGAGTGTGGGTGGGTATGGGGTTTGTGGGGGACGCGTATGGGGGAGGGTGGCTGGGCTGTGAGGGGCTGTAGGTGTGAGGGTCTGCATGTATGGCAGTTCGAGGAGGGGTGTGGGTGCATGTGTATGGTGGGGTGTGCTTGCGTTCACCCTATGAACACACACACTCTTCTTCTCCCTCCCTCATTGTACGCACGCGCACACACACAGTGTGCTTTGCTTGCCACACGTGTTATACAAATTGCCAATAGCTTAAATTAAGAGCGAGACTTTAAAAAGGGGAATAAGGCAAAATGCCCTGTTTATTGATTACATGAAGCAGATACATAAGCTTGGACACGCCAGTTATACAAACAGACATACACAAATATACATACAGACAGAACTACTTTAGTAAGATGTTAGTTATCAGCAGATGTTACTCAATATTAGCACTGGATGGCCGGGTCCAGGCTTATTGAGGATATGAGCAGAGGTATACAGGCATGCATGCCTGTGCTTCATTAGGTTGCAGAGAGTGGATTTCCCCATTTTGGCTTGTCTGCATTTTACTTATAGGGATTTTAAGTCTTTGTTTAGCATTGGGGTTTTTCCATGCTCAGTCTTTAATTAGAGGGTTTTTTTTTCATTTGTCTTCAGCTTACCACAGCTTGAGGTCAGTTCGGTCGTCAAAGTTAGTATCTTAGCTTTGGGGTTTTTTGCAGCCTGTCTGGCAGGATGTGTGCATTTTTCTTCCTCTCTCTCTCTTGTGCTTGGCCTCAAAGGGATTCGTCAGCCATCTATTAATTAGTTTACTGACTGGTAACTTACATTTGGCACCTTGTTGCTTACATAAAAAGTTAAATCTTCTTCTCCTGTCTTTATGCCATTCTTCTACTATTTATCCTTTCACATTTACTTATTCAAAAAGGGCATACAGAGTTTATTTACTTATGTCAAGCAAAAGAGTACAAAAATGGAGTTTTCAAGTTACTTACAGGACAAAACTAACACGGTTACGTTTCACTACTATTACACTCTATGTTAACAATAGCTACATTAGTTCAGTTCATGCTACACACATGCAGGCAGTGTGCTTTGCTCACACCTTATTTAACAAATGTAATTCTGTGACTTTAACCACCATATCCTGAAGTTTTTTGTTCTGATTAGCTGTGATTTGTGCTCACAGAATACTAATTGGGTTTGCATTGAACAAGAGCTTCTGAGCTGTTCAGCTGTCTTCATTTTTAGATAAGTCCTGTAGTCTTGGTAACACTACATGTGGAGCATCTTGTTTGTAAACTAAACTTGCTTTCCTCAATGGGTCAGAGTTATATGATTTTAGAAAAATCTAAATATTACTGGATAGTAATCACAAATATTAGTACTATTGGATCCAACTGATCAAATAACAGATTTGATAGTTAAAGATGTATCTAATCCCCTTAAATATACATAAAGATAAATATTTATCTTCTATCAACACTGCTCCCTTAGTCCAAGTCAGTGTTCACAGAAGTCTTGGGTTCTTTTTCTTAAAAGTAGCTTATTTCCACTGGAAGGTGGTGGGCAGTTATTTTCAGATCCTTAGTCTTAGAATTTAGAGGAATGCAGCCTAGCTGGATTGCTCCAACCAAATGTATAATGTATGTTGCAGCATCCAGTGTTTATGGAGTCTGTTCTGCATTGAAAAAGGGGAGCTGATAGGACCCTAATCTAATTCCGCTGAAATTAATGGAATTCTAACAAATTGATTTGGCTTCATATCTTTCCTTGAAGGACTGCTAGAATGTATAATTGTGAAGGTTATTAACAATGTCTTCTGAGGTTGTATTTGATCCACTGGTCATTTCCATGGTTTAACTCTTGTGTTCAACCACTGCTTTCAAGTGGTAAAGCTTTTTTTTTTTTTTTGACATTCACACTGAACAGGCATGTACTGTCTTCTATCATAGTTAACTGTATTCCCCAGCTCCTTAGTTGACTTTTTCACTGAATTCCTAAATGACCTTCAGACATTCTTGTATCCTCTATTAAAGCACTTCTCTAAGTTTTTTATGCTTTCATCATACACCCAGGGTTGAAAAGTCTTGCATCTGATATTACACTGCATTTTTATCAGTCTGTCAAATTGTAGTGCCCAACCAGATAGACTCTTGGAGAGATCTCTCAAAAAATTTATGTAACTTTTGAGATATCAGCCTGTCAAGACTGTTCCCAGACAGCCTTCAATCCTGGGTCTGAGTCCCTTCACCTATATTCCAGTTTGGACAGTTCAGCATTTAGCCAAACAGAACTGTTAGTAGCCTGGCAAGTGAATTGATAACATCTCTTTAAAACTATTCTGAAGTCCACAGTGTCTATGTTTTAAGTCTTCATGGTTTTCAACCTTCATAAGATGCCATCAGTGCCTGGATATTCCCTCAGTACTTTGCCAGTAGAAATAAAAGCTTGGATCTATGGGCAAAGCAAGAGCAACTTTCAAAAGGGAACCCTGGTTTAGTGTGTCATTCAGGAAATTTATGTTCTCTTTTGATTGCAGTTGGTGCCACCTCAACTGGAACTTCCACTCTTGGGACTCTTGGATTTAGTTTAAAGGTCCCTGGAACAACAACTTCTGCAGCTGGCTCAACCACAAGTAAGTAATTGCTTTGCAAGTGAATGGGGTGGGGGGAAGAGCATAGAGTAAAGGCTCGGTACTAAAGGGACATGGTGATTGAATCATCCTGAGCTCCCATGCTTTAGTCTTCCTCCGTTGAATCTCTGAAAACAAACCATTGTTTCTTGCTGTGATTCAAGTGGTACACTGTAGGTGTAGCCGTGCTGTAAGACCTGTGGAATAAACTGTATAACCTTTTTGTTCACCTGCATGGAAAATTTTCTTAAATGTATATAAAGGAAGAAGGCTGGGAGCTGCAGCAGAATTGGTTTGGAATGACCAGTGGAAATGGAATAGAAAGAGAGCAAAATACTCTTTCACTGTCCTGCAGTCTAGGGATTCCTGTCCTGCAGTCTAGGGAATGCAGGATTCTGGTATGTCTTCAGCTGCTGGAGCATGTTCCATTTCTGAGTTTTTCCCCAGCAGTGGAGAAGTCCTACTCCTTATTTAGGGAAAACTGTTTTCCCTGAAAAGTTAAATCTAAAAATGTGCAATTGAGTTATAGACAGGGCCAACTTTTAAAATGACCATGTTGTTTCTATTATAGGGAAATAAATGTGTGCGTTTGTATACAGGTAGAACTTTCTAGAGAGCTCACAGTGATTTAATTGTGGATACTACTTGTCCATATCCTACAAATGGAAGAAATTAAGTGATATAACTTCTCTGAGATCTGAGTCCAGGTCAAAAGTGTGAAAAAAACATGCATCTCAAGTTCCAAATCTATGCTCAGTCCACAGTATCATAGGTGTCCTTGCTTTCCCCTCCTCTCTGTGCAGTGTTCCACTGAGTCTCTTGCTTTCCAGGTGCCACTTCTGCCCCTAACCTTGGCTTTGCTTTGAATCTTAAACCATTGACCACCACTGGTACCATTGGTGCTGTGACTTCTACTGCTACTGTAACTACCACAACTACCAGGTGAGTCCATTTAGCTATTTAATTTAATGTCTCAGTTCAGCAGCAGACACTTGAAGGTGAACGTTCAAGTTCATGATGTAGTTCTTGTGTTGGAATAGAGGAAGCAGACTAGTCTCTTCCAGACAGACTCTAGTAGTGTTCCATGCCATTTCAGCTTTTATTTTCCTCACCCCTAGCACTCCCCCAGTGATGACATATGCCCAACTCGAGAGTTTAATTAACAAATGGAGTCTAGAACTGGAGGACCAAGAGAAGCACTTTCTCCAGCAGGCCACACAAGTCAATGCCTGGGATCGGACACTGATAGAGAATGGTGAAAAGGTGAGATGACATCTTACCAATTTATTTTCATACGCTGCCATATTTTTTAAAGTTATTTAGATACCAGTAGATGTAGACAGTTCTCTAGTAGGAGTTTCAGAAACAAAAATATCATGGAAGTATATGGAAGTTATGAATCCTAAGCGCTCTTGAAAATCCCACTAGGTGCCTATCTGCATCTTTAGGTCTCTAAACAAGTTTAAAAATATGGCCCCTGGTGATTAAGATGCCCAGATGGTAGACCAGTGGTGGGCAAAATACAGCCTGTGGGCTGGATCTGGCCCACCAGGGCATTCTATTTGGTCTGTGGGGCCCCTGAAAAATTTATAAAATTAATATTTATCTGCCTCTGGCTCCTGTCAAAGATAACCAGGGAAACTCCAGTAGGCTTCTGTAACAGTAGGGCTCGCCCGGCCCACCCCCGCAGCAGGCTCGGGACTGTGGGGCTGTTCGTGGCTGCACTGGCACATGAAATTCAGGTAAGATGGTGGGGGGGGAGGGAGGTGGGGGAGGACCACAGGGATTACCCCAGTCCTTGGGGCCATGCCATCTTCTCCTGAGCCCCAGGTGGGGGCGGGGGAAGTGGAAGTGTGTGGGAGCGCAGGGCCTGTTCTGGTGTCCTGGCGCCAGCGCTAGCGGGGCACGGATTGGCAGGGGCCTCTGAAGCTGGGCTGGGCTGCACCAGCAGAGAGGTGAGAGGGGGCTGGCCTGGCTCCATAGACCCCCCCCCCAAATTGCTTTTCCCACTTTCCTGCCCACCCACTGGGTGCCACTCTGCACTACATGGCTTCCATACCCCACCACACACATCCCCACAAACCCCCATATGCAATCACTTATGCATATACACTAGGGGTGTGCAAAACAGGCCCTATTCGATTCGGATTCGGCCCAAATTGGGGACAATGATTCGATTCATTAATTCAGATCATTCGATTCGGCCAAATCCGAATTTGAAGATTTTTGATGCTGATTCAGACAATCAAAGATTCAGACATAGATACAGCTTTAAAAGTTTTTTCTACAAACCTTGAGGTAGTAGGCGTGACTCATGATCACTGCAATGCTGGGGTCCCATAAGAGCATGAGGTGGGGGAGCCCACATGCTCAGCAGTGAACCTGGAAATGGAGTGGAAGTAGTCCACTTCCGGGTCCGCTGGGGAGCGCACTAGAGGCCCCCTTTGCACTCCCCTGGCTTGGCGATTGGCCTCAGGGGGACCTCAGGTGCCCCCCCATCCAGAAGGCACCAGTCACCGAGCTGGGGGGGCACAAGGGGCCCCCCTGCATGCTACCCAGCAGACCTGGAAGTGGACCAGAAGTACCAAGTCTGCTGCCGAGTGTGCTGGGGAGCCCCCTATGCTTCTGTGAGATGCTCCATGTGCCCCAGCATCACAGCATTCATGAGCCACCTCCTACCTAGAGGTATGTAGAAAAAACATTTAAAGCTGTCTCTATGTCTAAATCGCCAAACCTTTCCAGTTCCATTTCAATTCGGAGAGATTAAAAGGTCCTTTGATTTGATTTAGATTCGGAGATTTGGCCACCGAATCGGGCCGAATCGCCACTGAATCAAATCAGGGACCAAAGCTTTGCACAGCCCTAATATACGCCACTAATGCACACACATCAGGAAAAAAATATATTTTTAAAATTAAATTAAAACATATGGGTGTTTGATTTTTAGTATGTAATCCCCCCCCCCCCCCCCAGAAACA